TTGGACGCTTGATCTTTTTTCAATGACTGACATTGATGACGTACGAGGTGCAATGCGAATCTCAGAAAGGTAGTTGTAGTAATAAAAGTTTTATATACAGATTAATTTACCCTTCAAATCACAGGCGACCCCGAAAAATTAGGAGCCAACTTTTAAAATGTGAAGAACGCAAGGCGACTTTCATGTGCATGTACATGCGTTGACTGTATCCCGTCAATACAATACTAGTCGAATACATAGACTTCTACAGGGCCTTCTAAGTAATGCGCGCCGGGTATAATTCAAACCTCTGCCCCCATCGGTACCATTACCCCTAAAGCAAATCGTCTCCAGGAGACGAAATTTTGACAACTTGGATTGCAGGTGGTGGGCATTCTTCTGTCTACCGTACGACTGTACCTGGTACCAGTACCTTGTTGAAGGAGATACTGACAGGGGGTAGAGAGCACTACATACAGCCTGTGCATATGAACAGGGAGGATGCCCGCAGATTGAGAGCAAGGCCAGCCATTTTTTTGGCCTGAATTCAAAAACGTCCAATTTCCTGTGCAATCGAACAGGATAGCGACGCCTGTTCAATTGCACAGGAAATGGACGGCCTGCCTGTTCATATGTACAGGAGGCTGTGCATATGTACAGGAGCTCGACGTCCTGTTCAAATGCACAGGAATTGTAACGTTTTTTTTCTGGGTAGGCTTTCTCATTACTCAACAGTATAGATCTGCCATTACGTTCAGCATTACAGTCAAGCATGCCCTCTGCGTTCAGTCAAGCTGATGATCAACTCTCCTCTGGAGCGTTCCTCAATCATGCATGACTTTAAATCCGACCCTAATTTAGGGTCAGTTTGGGGGAATCCGTCTCTAAATATAGGGACATTTTTCAAACCCGACCCTAAATCGAAACCCGACCCTAAATTAGGGACGGTTTTTCAGAAACCGTCCCTATTTTTAGGGTCGGTTTCGAAACCCGACCCTAAAGGGAATCCGACCCTAAATCCGACCCTATTTTAGGGTCGGTTTCATGCACGATTGAGGAACGCTCCTGCTATCTCGCAGGCTGAGGTATGGACGTCTCCACCCGTAATCACTCAAGTAGCTAGCTCTCTCAAAGACGATGGAGACAGAAAGGAAATCAATCTTCGGTCACAATACTCGCAACCGATCGGAGCCCAACACTGCTATTGTGCACTGGCTCCCAAAGGAATTCTCTACCAATACTGCTGAGTTTCGCACTAAAACGCTTGCACTAAAACGCTTGCACTAAAACGCTTGCACTAAAACGCTTGCACCATATTTTGTCAACGCTTGTCGTGCTTCTGGCTTTGTTGTACGACTCAAGGGTTTCGGGAAATCAAAAGATATTGCTGCCTTCAACCAGCATGCAGAAGCACGTCAGATTTCCTGTGATTCCTGTGCAATTGTACAGGATCCGACCTCCTGTTCAATTGCACAGGAATCGCGTCGCCTGCCAGGCCAAAATTTGACTGCAGGCTGGCTCTCTAAAAATCCTGTTCATATGCACAGGCTGTATGTAGTGCTCTCTACCCCTGTCTGTAGTGGAGCATACTACCGTACGTGCAGAAGCGTGGAAGTTTTCCTCTGTTCCCCCTGCGAGGAACTAATAACCCGAACCTTTCTGGATTTCTGTTGACGACGCTAAAATTGAACTCGAGACGAGAGCGTTGTCTCTCACAAAATCGATCATCGAGGTTTGTCTCCTCGAGCCTTGGTGAACTCCAACGACGGCAAAGACAAATCGACCCTCTCGAAAGTCTCGAACTACAGTCGTAGGAAGAAAACAAGAAGAAGATGGAGTTCGAGTACGACAAATTTGACGAGCTTGATGATTTCGGTGGCGGCTTGGTAGATGGCGAGAATGGTGACGACGAGTCTCTCGATGACGGTTTCGGTGGATTTGACGGATATGGCGTCAATGGTGTTTCTCGGAGCGATGATTTTCATTCCTCGCCACCGCGCGCGTCTCGAACCGCTGCACTACTTGAACTTGATGCTTTTCCCTATGCTACACCACCAAGTGAACGCCGATCTTCTCATGAGAAGGATGATACGGCCGTGATGGATCGATCCGACGACAAGAGTCCGGCGAAAGTGGCCAGTAGTCCGAGCGACGTCGGATTGCAACCCGCTGCTGCTTCGGCCACGAAGAAACGCAAAAGTCCCGTACAAGAATCGAGCAACGATGACTCGCAGCCAGAGCCAAAGAACTTGAAAAAGGAACCCAAGCCAGATCTTTCCTGGAGCGTCGACGCCAAGAATTCTGCCACGTACACTGACTGGGCAATTGAAATCACTGCCTTGCGACAATCACCCACTATCTACCACGTTCACAAGTGCATCTTGGTCACTGGAGAGCGCAACAGCGCCTACTTCGCCAAGGCTTTTCTGAATGAGTCCAGCAAATCGAACGATATCCAGACATCGACCACTCGCGTCAAGTTGTGTTTTTGCGTCGCACGCGACTTTTCTCATCTACTTGACTACATCTATCTCAGCCCTGGCGAGGTCCAGTCATTCTTGAAGGATTTAGAACCGAAGAAAACTGCTGCGCTCTGGTATCTTGCTGACTATTTTGGAGTCCGTTCTCTTCCGATTGAAGAGAAAGTCATGGGCGACATGTCCATCGACAGCGTGCATTGCTACTACGTATGGGCCAATCTCCTTCGCCACGACCCACTCAAGAAAACGTCGACACATTTCCTCGCCAAAGAGATTGCAAACAATGGAATTACCATCGACTCTTCGGCGCTATTCGAGAATGTCACTCTTTGGCTCGACGTATTGGCGCATGATTGTGTCCGTTCTGGAGGAGAAGTCTCCTTGCGTCTCAGCAAGGTGGTCGCGGCCCTATACCAGAACTCGCCAGACACAATGGATCTGCCAACATTTCAGATGCTCACGGATGAGAAAATCTTGCCTACGATCGACAGTTCGGTGGCTCTTGTCTTGTGTGACATGGAAGAGAGCTTGGAAGCTGACACGAAGCCTGGTGGCAAAGACGACTCTGGAGGGGAAGTCCTATCCTCCCTTCAACAGCGCTGTGCCATTGCATTCAGCCACAGTCCTCCTACGGACGACGACAAGGAACTTGTCAGTCTACTCAACCAACGAAAGAAATCGTTCTGTGTTCAAGTTTGCGTCATGTCCATGAAAAATCAGCGCGAGCACGCCAACAAGAATTGAATGCTCCCTAGTCCAAAAACATTTCATTCCAACAGGGCAGCAATTTCGAGAGCTTCTGGACGTTTCCAACCTCCGGCGATCTGGCCCAGCAATCAGCCAATTCACTACACATCAATGCTCGTGGTTCAATGTTTGTCTTTACCACACGTGTGTTCAACTGAATGTAATCACTCTGCTCTCTCAAGATCATGACCCAAAAATCGGCGCTTCCTTTAGCTAAAAATACCACAAGGGAGAGTAGTACCGGTACGATGTATTCTAAAATAGACTTCTGGATCCAAATCATAAGTTGATAGATGCTGTGTTTTGTCGTGCCCTTGCCTTTGCCTCGGATGCGTGCAACGAAAACCATGCGCTGGAAGCTGCGCTGGAGATGAATTGTATCCACGCTCTGCAAAGCGTGTGGTTAAAAATTTCGAACCCTGATGATTAATAGGCGCGTTTGGATTTTCTTTATCCTGCCTCAACCTCCTCCATCATTACCGTGCCGTACTGGACACCACAGCTCCAAGAAAGAAGTCAAGATGAGTGACGACGACGGCATTCTAAGTGACAGCGATTCAGAAGCATGCGCTATCGGTAGTCAGATCCGCAAAGCCTTGAAGCGAAGGATTCTCCTTGACGCATCTGAAGCAAAAGAGGACAACAATTTGCCAAAGAGAAAGAAGCCAAAGCAGGAGCAAGTCTCTTGGCGTGACGACCCCGTCGAGTCGTACAGTGATTGGAAGCTGATTGTGGTGGATCTATCTATGGACGAAGGCAACGAAGAATCTGTCACTACGTACAACATCCACAAGTGCATGGCTGTGTCTGGGCGACATTGCAGCGATTTCCTGGCAGAGCAGTTCCGCGTCGCACGCATTGGCGAAAACAAGGACTTGGCCGCATCAACTCATCTGGAACTCGCGCCTGCATTGGCCGAGTCGGTCCCAAAGCTGCTAGACTATATTTATGGAGCGAACCTGAAGTACAATCTTCGTGCAAAGGAAGTGGTGGCATTACACTCGCTTGGCCATACCTTCAAAATACCCAGCCTGCAGAAAGCGACAGAGCTAATTTGCCATAAAAAGATGACGACACAAAACGCGTCTTCCTTTTACCGATGGGCCGCTTCGCTGAAAAACGACAAGCTTGAAAATGTGACAGTAAAGTATATCGTCGATCACATTCTGGAGATTGATGGGGAATCCGATCTTGTATGCAACGGAGAAATGCTTCTTTGGAATCAAATTCTGGATCATTTGGACACGAACAAGCTCTACGATAACCAGGAGGACGCCCAAGCCCGAAGTTTTGATCTCAGCATCCTTTTTGCCAAAGTCTGCAAGCGCCACATTGAAACTATCTCGTTGTTTTGGTTCTCCGAGGTGATGACGGATAAATTGGTGCTTCCTCACATTGATCCGTCGGTGGCATTTGATTTTTGCGAGATGGATGAAACACTCCAGGCCAAGTTTGCTCCTGAGGAGGATCTTTCCTTTTCCTGTCTTCAGGAGCGTTGCGCCAGATCCATTGCCAGTGTCAAGGCCGCCAACAAAGGCGACATGGCAAAGCATCTGGGAGAGCGCAGCAAAGCCTTTTGTGTGGAGGTCATCTTGGCGTCCAAGGCCAGCATCAATGTCATTGAGTAAAACAAAGCAATCCCAAGTGAATCGATGTTGGGAAAGATTCGTCGACTGATTGGATTGCCCTTGATTGCGAACAATGCAGCTACAACAAATGACTTTGTTTTCTCCTGGTGGCCATGATTTCTTCACACTACCGAACCAGGGTGAGGCACAGTGTAAAATAGTTTTATTTCATACCAGTAGATGGCACCGTAGTGAATGAGACCAACAAGACAAAGTCTTATCGGTGGCAACAAACACGGCCATTCCGGCCCCTAGCTAGCTACCGGTAGGTCCAGACAATGGCTGCTATCCCAAGCCCAGCCGCCCATCCCACACTACACCCCCGTCCAACATCTGGGCCAAATCCTGGACCTACTGCAATACACGGCTCTTAGCCTTATTCGCCACTCGATCCTAGATAGGGTTTGAGTTCGACTCATGACTGAGTCTTTCGTGAATAGTCATTGAGACAGGGTTCTCATGACCGCTAGTCATAACTAGGTCGATGGTGAAACATCGCGCTAGATATTTAGCTGGCGTGGAGGATCCACGCTACTAGATAAATGCTAGACGAATCTTCCACGCGTTCCGTTTTTGGATCGTGGAGTGAGTAGGATTGCTACCGCAACCTACTCTATCACTTTACAGTCTCCCGCGGGTTCAGATCTACGATCCTTTTGTGGTGTTCTTCTCGTTGATTAGTTTTTCATAGCTTTCTAATCTCTCATAACTTTCATTTCTCTCAAACTCAAAACACTCGAAAGATCTTTTACTAGCTTTTAGCGTAGTGCATTTTGTTAACAAACACAATAGCTTTCAGTACCCTCAACCTATTCCTCACCATGAAGATTGCCAAAGACGCGTACACAGCTTCGAGTCTAAGCTGCGGCGACAAACCAATCCTTCTCTCATCGACCCGCGACGATGAATGCGAAATCGACGATTCTCGCTCTACCACTACAAACTTCGCACTGTTCCGCAGATGCTGACAGCGCCAAGTACACCTTCAAGGTCCAAATCATAATGGATCTGAGATCCACGTCAACCATCAATGGGCTGGACGTATGGAGAAAGTCTTCATCGGGCTCGCCATTGCTACGCCTGAAGACAA